TGAGTGCTGGGATTTAAGGTACCCAGTGAATTTTTTCTTATATAAGACCTTATAGCCTTCAAAGCCTGAAATATTTATTCTCTGACCCTTGATGAACAATGTTTGGTAGGAAAAAAGTTTGCTGACGCCTGCTGTAAATAGTCTCTTAATGGAAAGATCCTCTTCTCCCATCCTTTGTTGTACTTAATGTGGGTCTTGATAGAAAATACTTACTTCAAATAACAAGTTTAAGTAATTTTTGAATTTATGTATATAGTTTATTCTAGGAATATTTTGTAATTGCATCATAAAAATAATACACACAGAACTAACTAGAAACAATTCCTTAATTCATAAACTGGTATTGATAAATTCTCCAGACTATTCCTTGTAGAACAATTAAAGAGAGAAGTCCTCTTTGTAGATGAGGTTGGGTGACCCTTGTCATTGTCTTCTACTTGGCTTGGTAGAACCAAGGATTCTAATGTTTCTTGACTGAATAGATGAATGAAATGGGATACCAAGTGTTGCACCCCATTCAGGGACAGCCTTAATAAGTGGCAGTTATTAATATTGAACCTCTTACCATATGTATTTGTTGCTCACAGCTAGAGTGGCTCAAATATTAGCATAAGATGATCCTTTAACTTCAAAAAGTAGTAAAATATTCTGTACTTTTGCTTTTAAAGGCTAATCATTTGGTTATTGAAGTAACTATTGTATTTAAATTAGAACTAAAGTATCAGGCTTTAAAAATGTGATATTAGGCAACAGTAGTTTCTTTGGGGACACTGAGTCATAGTCCTCCAGTGAAAACAGTTTAAGTTACTTACATACTCAGTGAATGAGTTATGCAAAGAAGTATGGGTTGCCATACTTAAGGAATTTGTAGTGTATTGGAAAAAAATAGCTATACATGTTCAAAGTTAGGGAAAACATGAATTACTATATTTTAAATTTCATTTAGTCTCCCCTCCACATAGTTTGCTTTTTCTTTCTTCTCTGTCTCTCTGTCTCTCTGTCTCTCTGTCTCCCTCTCCCTCTCCCTCTCCCTCTCCCTCTCCCTCTCCCTCTCCCTCCCTCTCCCTCTCCCTCTCCCTCTCCCTCTCCCTCTCCCTCTCCCTCTCCCTCTCCCTCTCCCTCTCTCTCTCTCTCTCTCTCTCTCTGTGTATGAGAGAGAGAGCATGCAAGCACACATACATTTCAGGCTGAGTCTGAATCCAGACAGTCTTTTAACTTGCTCTGTAGCTGAGGAAACCCTTGAACTTCTCCTGATCCTCCTTCCTCCACTCCCCAGGTGCTGGTTTACAGAAGTATGCCACCACACTTGGCTTAAATATTTATTTTGTTCATAATAAATATGTGCTTTTTGGTCTGCTTTGGGGATCCAGTCCATAGTCTCCTTTTCCTGTGTGTGATACACTCAGTAGCAGAGTAACTTGATGAATTCAGTAAAAATATCATTATATCATTCAATTCCCAGTTTCTCTGTGATCCTGTTGTTAGATATTTCCTTATATGTATTCCAATGCTGTTTGTTTCCTGCCTTGCTGTTGACAGTGAGATTGATTTGTATTTTCTAGTTTTCCTTTTATAAAAATATTTCATGGCCTTGCTCATTTTATTTTTCAAGTAAGTAGGTATACTGTTTGCAGGAAGTGTGTAGGGAAAGTTTGAAGACAGCAATGGTGCTTCAGCAGTTGATATTTTAATATGTTAGTTACACTTGGGGTTGCTCATCACAGCTTTGTTCCAGGAATAGTGGAAAGACTCAGGAGCTGGCCTTCCTTTCAAAATCAAAACTTCTACTCCTCCACTCTTTCAAAGAATTTAGTTGTTTCTTTATACAATAGGACAAAAGAGGAACTAAAAATTATTAATAAAAACACATAGGAAGTTTCTAAGTGTTCTTGGTTGCTAACTTTCTAAGAACAGTGTTGGCCATTATAGAATTGAGGAGAGCTTTTGAGCAGGTGACTCCTGTCCCATCCACATGTGTCCCTTGTATTATTCTTTAATGGTACTCTGCTTTTGCTGCTATGGATCTTGGACTTTCTTGCCTTCTGTTGAAGTAAAGGTAGTTTCTAGAAGGCAAGAGTAAGCCAGTTTTACAGAACTTGGTCATAACTTAATGACATTTATAGGTCATACAGTTGACAATTTCTGTGGAACTTGTGTTTTACCTATTGGTCTTTAATATGTTGGATGAGAGCTATTTTGTAGTGTCCTGATAAAAATTCTATAAATTTAAAGAGCATAGGCAAAAAGCAACCATCCTATGAAAAATAAACCTATTTGTTAGTAGAAGTCACTAACGAGAACTGCAAAGTTGTCTCATTTTATTCATCTGATTGCTTCAATACTCCTGAGTCCAATGGTTTCAGAGAAAGGTCATGAAGCAGCAGCTTCTGAATGGGTCAAGGGGTTTTCTAATCTCATATCATTGCTATTATCTAGATCCTAGTTTGTGTTTTCTTTCAGCATTGAAAGTTAATAATTTTGATAGAAACAGCTCCTTTTTTGTTATTGGATAAATGCTTATTTAAAAGCTTTTATTCTGTCATATCATTTTTCTATCTTCAAATATGATTTTCTCAGATCTTTTAGGTAGTAGGCTCAATGGAAGATTACTTTTGAAGAAATAATTATTCTTTAGTAGCACACAGGAAGAAGACATGACTGTCTTAATTTCAGTCTTATTTTTTTCCTTAACTACTGTCTTAAGGCGTTTACCTTGAGTTCATAGATGCATAATTATTTCAGTTCACTTTAAAAGTCAACAAACAAAACATTTTATATGAAAGTATCTAAGGCTCATACTTTTCTGAATTAATGGTATAAAATTGGCAGTACATAAATCTACATAGTAAAAAATTTTTAGTCATGAACTTTTGTTAGTATACCTACTATATAACATTTTAAGATGAGAACTTATTTGTTGATGCCAAATTCACCCATCTTAAAGTGTAAAATTTTGAAATCAAAATAGCAAGTTGTAAAACTGTATGGAAGTGCTTCCTTTTTATTTGAAAATAATTATATGAAAGATATGTTTGTATGTATGGGAAGGTCTGTAAGTTAAATACAAAGATATTTGTGGAAGTTGATTTATTTGATATATCAAGTTTTGTACTTTCGTTTTTGAAAGGGAGTCAGGGAAAAAGGTGGATTTAAAAGAAGTCAGTAGTAAATATTAAGTGAAATTAATGTTGAAAAGTATTCCTTCAAAAAGGAATTTCCTAAGCCTTGAGAGCCATTTTAATGAATTTCTTTTATGGTTCTATATAATGTGTCCATCTAGAACAAAATGATTTAATGGGTCCTAGCAGTCTAATAGTCCAGTAAATTCAGCATCATTATAGAAGAGAAATAGTGTAATTGGGTAAAAAGTCTGAAGCTATGAAAACTAATTCTGTACCTGTAGTTACCTTAGTTTTTCAGTATGTTAATTAATTAATGTGATCACTACAGAAACCAAAAAACAATTTGGTGCAAATATCATGCTATAATTTGCATTCCATTTTCTCTGTGAGTACAAGTTGTTAGATATTGCAACATATGTAACGTAAACCACAAGTCAGCTGTTTCTTGCTTCACTGTTGACAAGGGCCCCATTCATAACTCTTCTTTTATCCTTTCAGTGAATAAGTAATTATTCAATATAGAAGGCAGGATATTTGGAACTGGCTATTTAATGTGGCAGCACTCTGTAATGAAATCTGCTGTTACTGGCAACCTGAGAGGGGAATGTAACAATTCCAGCATGACTGTAACTTTATCTGCTTTGACTGAATGTTTATTTGGCACATCAGTGAACCTTTTATCCCAGTGAGTGACAGCTCCAGAAGGGTCACATTTACATCCATTCTATCATGTATTGTAATATTTAATGGTAGACAAGGTTGAGCGAGACTAGGAGTAATTTGAACTTGCTTTTCCACTGAGCAGAGGCTAAAAGACAGCTTGATCTCCAGTATTGTGGTGTAACATACTATGACTTATCATTTGTTTATGAAGGCTAATCTTACTGATTACAATTTTTAATGCAGTAAGTAGAGTATGTGTTCTACAAAACTGAATCTTTCCAGTGTGAATTTTTTTTAATGAGTGTTCTGCTTGCCTTTTTCCCTATTAGCGATTGCTTCCCAGCATTTCTCTTAAATGAAGCTTCATTCTGTCTCATTTAAGGGAGGAATTGAAGCTTTGAAGGGGATATTTGTTAAGAATATGTGAGTTCTCATAGCATTAAACTTACAAAAAAAAATGGGGAAAAGGCAGAATTTGGAAACAGGAATTAAAATCAGGTAAATTTTAGACTATTCTTGAGGTTCCATTGCTATACTTAAAGAGACATTTGCATGATTTCATTTACAATACTGAATTACTAGTGAACTTGTCCAGGATGAGCTATTTTGCTAACAGTTTTTCTGGTGGGTTTTCATTTCACACATGTAATTGGATTTCAGACATACTTGTTCCATGGAAGCAACCTGTTCTCACTCACTGTTGATGTTTTTGCATTCATTTTCATACCTTTGCTGGAGAAGAATTTTCTTTACTTACCTCATAGTGGTACTTAAGATTTAACTTGTCATGCCTGTTCTTTTGTTAACCACATTTCAAATGCTTTTTACAAACAGAATATTTGAGCCATGCTCTGAGAAAAACTATCAGTTCTATAATGTGACAGTGACCCAAGAGAAATTAAAATGGTCTTCCAATCTGTCATATTATTTAAAAACTATAATTTTATAAAAGAGAAGTATTAAGATGTTCTTTAAACATCTGGGATTAAATGTCAGAAAGAATGTAAATATGGAAGCATTGTTTATAAACTTGGAGAAGATAGAGAACTAATTTGTGTATAGTGTGTAGTTTCTTCAGTGATGCATTTAGACAATGTACTATCTGAAAGCTGCTTGGCCCATGAGGGTTCATTACTTAAGGGCTTTAATTCTGAAAGGTGGTACAGTGTTTGTTGTGGTGGCCCAGACAGTTTCTGTTTTCTTTCCTTGTTTCAGCTCGATGGCCTGTGTTCTAGGTGCTGCTGTTCTACTAAACAAGGAAACAGTGAAGAGTCTGCAAGTACTGTTAAGAAAGATCACGGGGGACAATTCAAGAGACCCAAAATTTATTTTGGGACACGCACGCACAAGCAGATTGCTCAGATTACTAGAGAACTCCAAAAGACAGCTTACTCAGGGGTCCCAATGACTATTCTTTCCAGCAGGGATCATACCTGTGTTCATCCTGAAGTAATGGGCAACTTCAACAGAAATGAAAAGTGCATGGAATTGCTGGATGTAAAACATGTGAGTAGAATTACTTTGATGTAAAGAAAAATAAAGTGAAAAGATTCAAATTTCTTGATACATGTTCTGTGTCTTTTTCTAGTGTTCATTAAGTAATATGAAAATCAAATTAATTACTAGCTTTGATTATTTCTTTAAAAAATTTTACCATAAGAAAATCTTAATTCACATTTAAACTTGATAGATTTTGGTTTTAAAACTTACAGGTATTTAATTCTATGACATTAATTTCTGTTGTATTCAGATGTAATTGAACATGAGTGATGTCAGATGAGAGTATAAAAATGTTTTAAGAATATTATCTAATTAGATCTAATCAACATATTTTATATATTTAAAAACTTCAAAATAAGATTGTTTAAACAGCCAATTTTGAATTTTAATATTGAAATCCATGATTATTCTAATTTATAGTTCTAATTAGTACAATTTTTAAAGTTATATAAGATTATTAATTTTAAAACCATGTTATACATGACTTTAAATTTTTCTAGGGAAATTGGAGTGGTATGAATTTTTAGGATGGGTAGAATAATCTAAGACATGCTTTTGTAAATATCATTTTAATACGAGGCAGCATTATTTTGGGAGTCTGTATTTGTTGTAGCTAATTTGCTTGAAAATTGAAGTTGTAATTATGAAATTGTACTCTGAAATAGTCAGTGAGTCAGTATATAAAGTGAACAATGGCAGTATATTTTGGAATTTTTTTATCTATTATTTTATCAGGGTTGATCCTACATAAAAGACTAAGTGACAGTCCCAAGAATTTTGTTTCATTGGTGAATCACCTGCTACCATATAATATGAATAAATTATGTTTTATTGTTTTTTTCTTACTTAGTTTTTTTTATTTTAACCAGATGAGAGTTTACTTGGTCTTATTTTTTTTTCATGCCCATTCAAAACATATTTTAATAGCTATTTAGCTGTATGTAGTAGGACTTTACAGCGTGAGTAAAGTTTTCAGAGGACAAGCTTAAATTACTTACTCAGAACAAAGAAGAGAATACAGAATTTGTCAATCAAAATCATTATTGGAATTCTATAGTCATATTTGTTGCCATTTAAGTTCTAACTAGATGAAGAATTGTGTGGAATATCTCTACTGTATATGTTTCAAAGGTACTCAAGGAAAAGGTTTTTGTGGTAAAACTACAAATACCATGTTTAAGTTAACCTTTTTCCATGAGTTACTAACTGTTCTGCTAAATATTTTTTCACTTGCTCTTGACATTATTACTCATTTGTAGGAAATATATGTTAAAATATGTTGGTGAAAGCAATGAAAAAGTTTAAGGTTTGTCTAATATTATAGAATCCTGCAGTATTGATTGTGTTTGATTTTTATTCTCAGAAGTTTGAAGCATATAAAATAATTTAGAAGACGTCCATGCTCAGAACTTTCCACTGTTTTGTTTTTGAATATTAGTGCTGTAAGGAAGCAAATCTAGCTGCTTGTGGCATGCTGTATCCTAGCTCTCTGTCAGAGTGCTTACCACTTAGTTATACACGAGTGTTCTTTTTCTTGTTCCCAAGCCCTCAGAGTAATTTGGTATTGTAATGAGGACCAATTACAAAGTCACCAAAGGTGTCTGTGTTTACTATGGCTGATTTACCAAAGAGAAATGATAAATAGATAACTGACATTGAGTGAGAAGAGTTTAAACGGTGATAACACTGTTGCCAACAGACTCCCTTCTGGGTTCTGTTACATGGCTTAAAGGGATGAGCTTTTGGCTTCACTATCGCACAGAGCTGTCAGTCTAAGAGCTCCTAAAGTGAAAACTTTCTGATTATTTGGCTTGATCTGAAGGTACACATGCTTTTGTATACAGTTTCTTTTAAAGTGCCCTCCATACCAGAGTGGTAGTCTGTTAAAATTATTTTTTTTGTTGTTTCCATTAAGAAAACTAAAGTTGAGCCTGGAATGCTAATTCTTTAAAAAGTTTTAGATACAGACTATCTTGTTTTTTAAAAATTCAAACAAAGCAGCTGAGGTTGCTCAGAAGTTAGAACAGGAGCTGCCCCTCAGAGAATCAGGGTTCAGTTTCCAACACGACATGGCAAGCAGCTCACAACCGTCTGTAACTCCAGTTCCAGAGGGTCTGACACCCTCTGTGGGCACCAGGCATGCATGCGGTGCACATACACACATACAGGCAACACACACTTGCACGTAAAATAAAAATGAATAATAATTTTTTAAAGAAAATGATCTGGGTATTGTGGTGTACACTAGTAATCCCAGGGCTCTGGAGGGTCCTGCAAGATTGCAGACTTAAGAAGAGCCTGCTTTCCTTCACCTGGAAAGAAAAGAAATAAAAGTAACACATGGAGTAACTCAGGTACATGCACAGAAAAGTCAAAGCTAGCCCAGTATAAGTCCAGCTCCTTCTGACCTTTAACCCTTCAAGGAAACCATTATAAACTTCTGTGTGTATTTTGCCAGAAAGTTTAAAAAAAAAAAGACATTATTTGCAAGAGAATATATGCATATTTATTCTTTGAGCAAGGACATTTTACACAAACTTAGTCATACTTTTACACATTTGGTGACTATTTTTCTCATCATAGCATCATTAGAGAACCTAACAAATAGCACACTTACTTAAAAGTGTATATCATTTGGTTTATTTTTAAACAAAGTCTCACTATGTAGCTTTCAGGCTGGCCTCAAACTCAGAAATCTGCCTGCCTCTACTTCCTGAGTGCTGAAAATAAAGGCATGCACCACTGAATCTGTCCTTAAAAGGGTGTATCTTTTTAAAAATTGCTTAACATGTCTCTGTTGATCATAGAAATTGAGTTTAGTTATAGTTTAGTTTAGTTTTGGTTTTTTTGTTATGAAACTATATTGTTTATCTAATTTTTGTCATTAGTGTACATTGATGATAAAAATCAGAACTTTGATGTTTTGGCAAATTACCTATTATTCAAAGCTTCTAGTGTTTTTATTACTCAAAGTTTAAACCATCGTTAAATTTTCTTTTGTAATGTGACTATTAGTTTCATACATTTTATTTATTCATTCACTTATTTAATTAACTTATTATTTTAATTGGGAATATTGCTATGGAGCTCAGTCCCTTTAACTTACTATCCTCCTGCCTCAGGTTCCCATGTACTTGGATTACAGGCACCTGCCACAATGCTGAGCTAATTTTATGCAACAATTGTTTTAATGTATATGTATGTGACGAGCCTTCATGCACACTACATGTGTGAAGGCCAGAAGAGGGCATCACATGCACAATACTGGAGTTAAGGTGGTTGTGAATTGCCATGTGTGTGGTATGAACCAAACCCAGGTCTTTTGCAAGAGCACTAAGTACTCTTTATCTCTGAGATGTCTCTCTTGCCCCTATTTTCATACAGTGAAAATTGATATATGAAATATTCATACTTGGAAGGGAGTTAACAAAATTTTAATTTTTTATTGATGCTTGTAATATATATTTTGCTTCCAACAAAATACTAGCAAAGATATTAATAGATAACATGAAGAAATAGAAATCACTAAGCCGGTGGTGGTGGCACACACCTTTAATTCCAGCACTTGGGAGGCAGAAGCAGGTGGATCTCTGTGAGTTTGAGGCCAGCCTGGTCTACAAAGCTACACAAAGAAACCCTGACTCAGGAAAAAAAAAAAAAAAAGGAGAGAAAGAAAGAAAGAGAGAGAGGGAGAAAGAGAAATAGAAATCACTGGTAAATGTTCATACAAGGACTGGGGATTGTGACTCAGTGGTAGCATGCTTATCCTGAGTACGCGAGGCCCCCATACTCAGTATCCAGTACCACATACACACAAGGATATTCATTCAAAGAAATGTTATACCTTGGCAGATAGAAATTATAGAAAGCACAAATCAAAAGTTTTTGTTTTTCACCTTTAAAATAGGCTAAGATGGGGACTGGAGGGTGGCTTGGCTTGTCTTGCAGGCATGAGGTCAGTCTACGTGCCTGACATGAGGGAAGCTAGTTCAGTCTGTCACACTAACTCAGTGTACAGATGTGAACAACAGTGAAGTGAAAATTTCCAGATAGAAGTTTGTTTTCATCTTAACATTGGGCCATTTTATAGAGATGAAACATTCTATACATGTGAATAAGAAAAATGTGAGATACATGAAGATGTCAATAGTATATGTTTTGAATAACATAATTTGGAATTTTGGGGGGACTCTTGTATTTTATGATTTTTTTGTAGTTATCCCTCTTTATTTTTTCCCTCGAGGTAGTTCTTTATTTCCTTCTCCTCCTCTTCCATTTTCCCTTTGTCTCCCTTTCTTGTTTCCTTCCTTCTGATATTGTCACATGGCTTAAATTTGAAAAGACAAGAGAATCAAGAAAAATTTCCCCCTATGCCTGTCACCTAATTCTAATCTAAAAGCAGCAGGAAATGCCATTGCTTTGTTCATCCTTCCAGAAATGCTTCACGGCTAATGGCTCAGCTCCATCAAACAATATAAAGATGTTTTTCTTGTTTGTTTTGTATTGGGAGTTCTTTTTCATTCTTAGCCAACTACTACAATTTCTTTGAATATAATGGTTTTAAATATAACCTGTAATTCCAGCTGCTTGGGAGGGTGAAGCAGGAGGATCACTTGAGCCCAAGAATTCAAAGTCAGTATTGGTAACACAGTGAGATTCCTATGTCTGGACAGGAAGATAAGGTTTTGATCATATATGTGTGTGTGTGTGTGTGTGTGTGTGTGTGTGTGTGTGTGTGTGTGTGTGTGTGTATTTGTTTTCTCTATAAAGTATTAGCTTTTGGCTTTAGTGATCTTTTTAAAGTTCTGAGATAATCTCACTTTATTTCTTGTGTTCCAAAGTTGGCTCACATTTCAGTTTTGTCTGTTTTCAGGGTAAATCCTGCTATTTTTATCATGGTGTCCATAAAATTAGTAATCAGCAGACATTGCAGTCCTTTCCGGGAATGTCCAAAGCCTGGGACATAGAAGAGCTTGTCGGCCTCGGGAGGAAACTGAAGGCATGTCCCTACTACACAGCTCGGGAACTGATAGATGAGGCTGACATAGTATTTTGTCCCTACAACTATCTCTTGGACGCACAAATAAGGGAAAGTGTGAGTATATATGAAAATTAGAACTTTCCCCTACATATCAGATAAAAGTGATGAATGTAAAGACTTTTAGATGTTTTATGTCTTTTTCCCTCTGTATTGAATTTATGTAGCACACTGAAAACATGTTCTAAGGTGAATTAAGAAGTGTCTTTTAAGCCCAGTTACTTTAATTTCCAAAGTATTAAACAGTTGGTGCTCTAACAGACTGCAACGGAACTGTAGTGTTCCTTAGGCTAGACTAAGTCTTCACATTAGGCTGGAGGAACCTTGGCTGTGATGGATTGTCTCTGCTTTGTGATGCTTAATGACTTCCCCGGTTCCATCTCTGAGATGCCAATAGAATCCTTACAGTTGTCACTGTCAGAGACACTCTAGACATTGCCCAATGTCCAAATTAACCCGTGAAACAAAATTGTCCCCATTGAAGACCATTATATAACCGTTGTTCTCTCCATTTATGAAGTTAAGAATTATTTAAAAACACTTCTCTGGGGGAAAAAATAACTGTTTTTGTAGAAGTTATATTAAGAGGATAAGTACTTTGAAAGCTGTGCTTTGTGAATTTTTGTAGTAATCAACTTTAAATTGTATTTATTTGTCTTTTTTTTTTTTTTTTTTTTTTTTTTTTTTGGTATTTCAAGACAGGGTTTCTCTGTATTGTTTTGGAGCCTGTCCTGGAACTTGCTCGGTAGACCAGGCTGGACTTGAACTCACAGAGATCCGCCTGCCTCTTCCTCCCGAGTGCTGGGATTAAAGATGTGCGACACCAATGCCCAGCCTATTTGTCTTGTTCTTACAGAGATTATCATTGCTATAGCCTAAGACAAAGAGTAAACAGTTTGCTGTAATCAGTTACTGCATTCTTTAGGTGTCACTACACCTCATCTTAGCTTTCTGTTTCTTTTCTAGGTTTGATGTTGTTGAAACAGGATTTCATGTAGCCCAGATTAGCCTTGAACTTGTTAGGTAGCTCAGGATGACCTTGAGCTCCTGCTTCTACTGCCCAAGTGTCAGGATTGCAGGTGCATGCCACCATAGCCAGCTCTTGTGGTGCTAGAATCAAACCCAGGGCTTCCTGCATGCTAGACAAGTACTCTACCAACTGAGTCATAGCTCCATCTTTTAAAGTTCAGAATTAATAGACATTTAAATTTTTATATACTTAATTTTTTTATTTTATGTGTATGAGTGTTTTCCAGAATGTATGCCTGTATAGCTTATGTGTGAGGTAACCACGAAAGCCAAAAGAGGGTATTGGATCCCCCACAAACTAAAGTTACAGTTTTGAGCTCTCATGTGGTATTGGAAATTGAACCCAGGTCCTCTGGTAGGAGCAGCCAGTGCCCTTAACCACAGAGCCTTCTCTCCAGCCTCAATAAGCAAATTTTATTTACTTCCATATTACTACTCTCTGCTGCTGTAGCTTTTATTGGTTAGCTCTTAATTAGGCATCAGATATAAAAGTGTTAGTGATGGTAACCTGCATAATGTTACTTTTATTCTATCATTTCCTTACTTGAAAATGTATTTTTCCCTTTGCTCTGGGATAGAGTTCATATTTAAGTTCCATTTTCAAGATGCTCAGTAGTTTGACATAGAACTGCCCTTTCAGCCTTTACTAAAACTCCAAACTAGAGCCCTTGAGTATGCCTTAGAACCGCTCAGGGATTCCTGTGTTTCTGCTTTTGATTTCACCTGCTGAAATTCTCTGCCTTGCTCCTGTCCTCCCCGGAATCCCTGCCTTTTACCCTCAGTCTACTTTTGTTCTTCCATAATTCTTTTCCAGCCACTCTCAGACCTGTGTATGTTATTACTGTCTCAAAATAATTTATTGGAGGCTACTTTAATAAAATGTCCTTGTTTTATTACTGAAGATTTTCAATTGCAAGTTAAACAAGCCTAACTTGAAAAGGGCTTAAGAAATAGTTGACTTTCTCTTCATTGTGATGGCTTCATTCTTAGGAAGTCCTTTTCTTGTGGGACCAAGAACAACCACAAGCAGTTAGCTAATCTGGAGGAAAGAACACGAACTTGCATGCACCCCCCCCCCCAGTTGCTCTGTTTGGCCCAGCGTAGATGGCATTTTCATTCCTAAATCTGATCCAACTCCTGACCACAGAGGATTGGAATACTTTAGCTGATGAGCCTGGTTTTGAGCTTTATTTTAGCCTTGCTGTGAGAGACATGATGTCACTAGATCCGCAGATTAGTAGCCTTACCAGCATCACGCTGGAGAAGAGCAGTGTTGAAAATAAAGGGTCATAGGTCAGGTAAAAATGAGACAGAGACAGACATGTACTATGCTACTTCATGTTACTTTTTTGGGAATCATTGAATCTGCATTCCTGTTTCCCTTCTAAAGGTTTTCTGTTCAGGGTGTAGCTTGCGTAACAAGCATGAAGCCCTGTGCACTACACACACACACACACACACACACACACACACACACACACACACACACACACACAAAGTGTTTAGTAATCAGTATTAACATTGTTTTGAAAGCTTCCTTACTGTATAATTGTATACCCTCTGTGTCATCAGTGGTACCTTCATCCTTGCTCAGTTCTTGAACACATGTTCTTGTGAAGTTGGTTGTCAAGTGTTCTTAGAGTGAAAATGGTGAGCCCTGTGGTATAGAACTGGTGTCTGGTAGATGTTAGTGCTCCTGAAGTTATTCTAAGGCTTGAGTGTATCAGTTCTTCCACGTAAATTGCACAAGCAATATTGGCCTGTATCGTGAATTTAAATGAAATCTTTTGTCTGCTGCTGTTAAATTCATTTTATCAAATGTTTTAATAGAGAGTTATCTTATCTTACAGATGGATATAAAGCTGAAAGAGCAAGTTGTCATTTTAGATGAAGCTCATAACATTGAAGAGTGTGCTCGGGAATCAGCAAGCTACAGTGTAACAGAAGTTCAGCTTAGGTTTGCTCGGGATGAGTTGGACAGTTTGGTCAGCAGTAATGTAAGGAAGAAAAACCATGAGCCCCTACGAGATGTGTGCTGTAACCTCATTAAGTAAGCATTTTTGTCTGTCAGTGCATTTGTATTGTCTTTTTATATTAAAGATATGCTTTGTGTCAGGGCATTTTAAAGTTAGTAAACTTAGGGACTAAAGAGATGACGGGGACTAAAGAGATGACTCAGTGGTTAAGAGTGCTTGCTGTTCTTGCAGAGGACCTGAGTTCAGTTCCCAACACCCACATCTGACAGCTCACAATCACCTATAATTCCAATTCCAGGGAATCTAATGCTGTCTTCTGGTTTCCTTGAGTACCTGCACACACGTGGTATACATTCACACAGATACATGCACAAACATATAAGTATAAAGTTAAGTTACTTTGAGTAACCAGACTATCTTGGAAATGGGTTGTTCTTTTAAAAGACCAATGAAAGTAATTGGCTTCTAAAAGTTGATAATTTCAAGAACTCATTTTTGATTCGGTAGAAACATTAAATAACAGCAATTAAACATTTTAAATTCTAGGTCATCTTGCTTTAGATTTATTTTATTGTTTTATGTGTATGGGTGCTTTGGTTGCATGTATTATGTAAATGTACCACATGAGTGCCCACACAGGTAAGAAGAGAGCATTGGATCCCCTGGGATTATAGTTATAGATGTTGTGAACCACCATATGGGTGCTGGGAATCAAACCTGGGCAAGGATAAGGTTCTAGTTAGGGTTTTGATTTTTGCAAAGAAACATTATGACAAAAGAGCAAGTTGGGGAGAAAAAGGTTTATTTAACTTGAACTTCCATATTATAGTCATTATTAAAGGAAGCCAGGACAGGAACTCAAACAGGGCAGAAAGGTAGAGGCAGGAACTGATCCAGAGGTCATGGGGTAGTGGGTTACTTACTGGCTTGCTCTTCATGGCTTGCTCAGTCTGCATTCTTATAGAATCCAGGACCATCAGGCCACCCACCCTGGGTTGGGCCCTCCCCTATTAATCACTAAGAAAATGCTCTACAGACTTTCCTATAGCCTTATTTTATGGAGTTATTTTCTCAATTGAAAGTTCCTCCTCTTAGATGACTCTAGTTTGTATCAAGTTGACAAACTATCCAGCATAAGCAGCAAGTGCTCTTAACTACTGCGCCAACTCTCCAGTGCCTCATGGCTTTATTTATTACATCATCCTCCACCTCAAATATGATTCTAGTTTGGTGAGTTTCAATAAATGGGGAGATTTCAGTACTTAAAAAAATAGATTTAGTACCAATTTTACTAAAATTTACATTAGATAATTTCTCATGCTTTATTCTAGAATCATGTTATCATAAAGTTTTCTGACTATATCTTATTGCATATATTGTGACATTTTCTGTTATCTTCATTTTGTACATTGAAAAATTTAAATGTACAGTCATATGGTTTGAACACAATTTATACATATTTAGTAAAAGCTACCTTTTATCTCATCCCTTATTTGTTTAGTCTTTGTTCTCCTAAACAAGGTTATTGAGGGCAATTTTTTGTTAATATGAATCAATATAGATAAATACTCTTGGTTCTTACTTTTTCCCAAATGATGGCATACTATGCATGGTACTTATTGCATTTGACTTTTCATTTTTGAGATGATCTGTCATTGAATTTAGAGCTTACCAATTTGGCTAGCCACTGGGATCCATGTATTTCTGCCATCCTAGCTCCAGGGCTATGGATGTGTTCTGCCATGATTGCTTTTTGACGGTGCTTAAGGATCCAAACTCAGGACCCTGTACTTGTGCAAATCAACACTTCAGCCACTAAGCCATCCTTTCCCCCATCTCATTCCTTATAGTCTTTGTGTCTGATTTTGGATTAGTTTCTGGCCACTGTATGGTCCTTTACTTGTTCCCAAAGTTTTCACAACTTCTATGTTCAGTTTCTTGACCTCCACATGGGGTTGTAACTCATTTTGAGAGCTCTGGGATTGGCTGTTATCTACAGTACTGCTGAGGCCTAAATCTGTGTCTCTAATCCTAACCTCTCCCTGGAGTATGACTCTCATAGTTATTTGTATATCTCTGTTAAGATATCCAATATATTTCAACTTTAAATCCATTTCCTCTGTCTACTGTCTCCTCACCCTCCACATTCAGTCTTTCATATCCAAACAGAGCCTATCAGTTCCTCAAATCAAATTCTAATACTGTCTTTGATCACTGCTTCCCTGCATCAGCCAGCTAATCATTAAGTCTTCCAGGCGCCACTTGTACAGCATGTCCCAAATCCATCTGTTTGTTTGTTTGCTTTTCACTCTGTGTCTATGGTGATCTGGAATATTGTGATAGCTTCCCAATATGACTTTTCTTTCTCCTATAATCCATTCTGCCTTGGAAGTTGGAATCATCCTTTAAACACTTAAATACTCACTTTCTTATTTAAAAACTCTACTTCAAGCTTTGTATATGACCCATATTTCTTATCCTTGCTCTAAATAATCTTATTCTAGTTTATTCCTGAATGTTGTTTGTACCATCATTTATTGTTGCCCATTGTGATGACCATACTGGTTTTCTTTTGGGCCCTCAAAGGAGCAAAACTTGCTAACTTGGCACCAGCAATTCCTTCTGTTTTGAAGCATTTTTTTTTTAAATCCCCTCTGGGACTGGCCACTTCTCTGCATTCAGTTGTTAGAAAATCATTTCTGGGAGAGTGTCTCAGACATTCAGATTAAAGTAGCTAAGTAGCTACCAACTTGTGATGGTACTGGGAATTGAACCCACAGCCTCATGGATGCTAGGCAAGCCCTCTACCCTGAGGTCTTTTTCTCTGAAATTTCCTTTCTTATATATTTGTTTTTGTACTTATTTCTGACTCCCTTTAGTAGACTTTAATTTCCATAAGAATAAGGATTTTGTTTACTTTGTACCCTGCCATAACTTCTATTTGGATCTTTGGTATAAAATTGGCATTCAAGATGTTATTAAGTGAGTGTATATATCAATAAATATATTTATATAGTTTTAGGTAATTCTTTTGTTGTTAATATGCAGCAAAAATAATTGTTTTGTATTTATCTCTATGTGATTTGATATGAACACCTCATCCCTGGCTGTTAGGTGTAAGTAAAGTAATGCAAATACACAAAAAGTCTCACACTTGTTACTTTCTTAATACAATTGCTTATGCTTATGTAATTTTATAGTATAAAATATGACTTGGAGGTGTGTTGATCCATGCTTATGTCCTAACAAATTCAAGGAATGTACAAAGACCCATATATGACAATGATAATTTTCCAGTTCTCTTGAGGTAATACATCTAGGGTGACACTGGTTGACAAAATTGTTGTTGTTGTTGTTTTTTTTTATTCCAGTTGGTTAGAAACAAATTCTGAACATCTTGTAGAAAGGGACTATGAATCATCTTGTAAAATATGGAGTGGAAATGAGATGCTCTTAAGTTTGTACAAAATGGGCATCACCAGTGCTACTTTTCCTGTTTTGCAGGTATGGTCCTCCCCATGACATTCTTTTAGTCGACTGCGTGTCACTTAGTGATAAAAACCGTAACACATCCAGGAAAAAGTTCAGAATTAGAAACTAACAGCTTAAAAGTTGTTTTAGAAATTTCTTATGTAAATCTAATAATCATTAGGTGGTAACACAAATAGATTATTAATTAGTTTGAAAAAAATAAGACTTTATAGGTATTATTCTTTAGTCACAGTTAAAAGAAACCAGTATTTTTAGGTTGTGAATGTTTTGTGTCAATTATAATACTTAGAATTTCAGAAAATAAAAAGTTCATATTTTGTGTACTGAAACAGAGTTTGGAATTTTGTGGAGAGGTGGTTAGACCTTTAGGAACCTCATTGTGAGTATCATTTTTACACATTCTTCTGTATAGAGGTTCCATAGTGTTTTCTTAGTCTCAAGACTCTTTAAGCAGGAGGGATAAGAATATTTTGTCCTTTGTCCTTTGTTGTTGTTGTTCCTATTTAAATCTAAATCTAAACAAAAGGACTTTGTTTTTTAAGAGCAAATATAAAGAAAACTTGAACAGAAAGCTCAGAATTCTCATTATATTCACATTCTAGCCCCGCCAACCCCTCCCTCCATACACACCAGTCTTGCCTATTGAGAATACAGTCATGGAATATACTTGTTCCAACTGATGAATCAGCATTAATGTGTTATTGTCACCCAAAGTCCACAGGTTTTTTGATAAGTTACTCTCCATGTTGTATAATTCAACTAGGTTTTGCCTAGTCATTCACCGTTATAGCATCATACAGAATATTTCCACTGTCTTAAAACATCCTCTATATTGTACCTCTTCATACCTCTACTGTACCATTGACTCTCATAAAAAACCTCGGCAAGTACTGACCTCTGATTCCATAGTCTTGTCATTTCTAAAATGCCATGTATTTGGAATCATACTGTGTGTAGTCTTTCCTATAGCAATATGTGATTAAGTTCCTTCCATATAGAGTGTGTATGATGCACAGACCCAGGGCTTGTACATCCTCTATAACTTTCCTTGGCTTGATACCTCATTTCCTTTTATCACTAAAAACAAACACATTCCATTGCCTATATATACCACAATTGGTTTATCTGTTCACTGATGAGAAACATATTGGCGGTTCCCAATCTGGGGCAATTTTGAATAAAGTTGTTATAAATGTATGTCCTCCTCTTTTTGTGTGGATGTGGCTTTTATTCTGAGGGATTGCTCCAAAGCATAATGGTTGAGTTCTATGGTAAGAGTAATCTTAGCTTCAAAAAAACTGTTTCCATGGATTCCTGTTGCTTCACATCTTCATCAGCATTTGAAGTTGAGAGCATTTGGAATTTTAGCCATTTTAGTGCTTGTGTATAGATATCTAACTTGTTTTTGGTGTTCTTTTGTTTTTAATGTAACTCAGTCTGGTCTAGAACTCTGATCCTCCTGCCTCTACTTCCCAAGTGCCAGGATTCCAGGATGAGTCACTAAGCTTGGCTTCTCCTTGTTCTGTTGTTTACCTGAAGACAAGATATTTAGTCTCTTTTTTTCTATTCGCTTGGCATCTGTCTAAGTTCTTAGTAAGCCTAGGAGTAAGTCAATAAGCAGGATTTCTCCCTAGCCTCTGCTTCAGTCCTGCCTCCAGGTTCCTGCCTCGGCTTCCCTCAGTGAGCTTCGTAATAGGGAAGTGTGAGCCAAATATACTCTTTCTACTCAAGTTGCTTTTGCTCATGGTGTTTTAACACAGCAACAGAAACCTAAGACCAAAGAACTTAGACAGTGAAGATCCCTCTTCCCAGATATGTCTAGGTTGTGTCAAGTTGACAAACAACCAGTGTATTTGCTGAGATGGTTTTTATATCTTTTGCTCATTCTTCAATTTTTGTTGTGTTTTAGGAGTTTTTCATGTATTTTGAATACAAATGCTTCATTAAATAAGTGTTTACAATTATATTTTCTCAGACTGTACCTTGCTTTTTCATTTCATTGACAGTGTCTTACACAGAGCAGAAGATTTTAATTTTAATAACCTATCTTACCTCTTACTTTCCTCTCATGAGTAAGTGTTAGGTTTTATATCAAAGACTTCATCACCAACTCCACACAGTCGTCTAGATTGACTCCTGTGTTTTGGAAGTTTTATGTTTTCCAATTTACCTTAGGTGATCCATTTTGAGTTATTTTGGTGGCACTTGTAAGGTCTAGTTAGTGTGATGTGCAGTTCGTCCATCACCACATGCAGAAAGGGTTTCCCTTCTCCATTGGATTATCTCTGCTTCTTTGTTGGAGATAGCTGGCTGTATTTGTGTGGGTTGTTTCTAGAATTTCTCTTGTGCTCCACTGATCTGTTTGCTACTTCCTTTGCAAATACTACATTGTCTGAACTACTGTAACTTTTGTTTTTAATGTAATTCTTGTGTGGGTTGTTCTTGAATTCTTGCCTGTCCATATAAACTTTAGAATTAGTTTGTCAAATATCCACAAACTAACTTATTGGGATTTGTTTGTGATTACCTTGAATCTATAAGTCAATTTGAACAGAAACTGATATCTTAATAATATTCTATTTTCTTGGGGTAGAGTGAGGTCTGTGTTTAATGGGCTAAACCCAGGATAGAGATGTCAGAAGGGGTTCTTTTTTGTTGTTTAAGATTTATGTACTTACTTTGTGTATGAGTGTTTGTCTGTGTGCATATATATGCACCATGTGCATACCTGTTGCCTGTGGAGGTGAGAAGAGGGCATCAGCTCCCCTTGGAACTGAAGTTATAGACAGTTGTGAGCTGCCATATGAGTGATGGGAACTGAACCTGAGTCCCTAGAAGAGCAGCCAGTGCTCTTAGCCACTGAGCCATCCATCCAGCCATGGTTCTTTTTTTTTTCTAATAAGACTAAATAATATTGTATATTTTGTTTTTCTTTTTTGGAGTTAAGGCTATACTTATGTAATATAATCTGGCCTTGAACTTGCTAGACACCCAGTGATGACCCTGAACTCTTTAGCTTCCTGCCTTTACTTTCCAGGTGCTAGGAGTACAAGTATGTGCTACCACATCCAGTTTATATGTGTTTTATTTTATATTTTCTTCATTCCATTCATCACTAACTGTATTCTTACTTTTCACTTGGGAAGATTTGTAGACTGAGGGATTCTTTCTTGGGGCAAGAATAAAATGGCTGATAGTAATATATGCTTACTCTTCAATGCATCTGCTGTTGGATTTTTATTTTCTTATTTTACTGTTTCCTTAAATTATTTAAATTTTACTTACCAGGCCTGAGGTATGTCTCAATAGAGTCCCTGCCTAGTTTTTTGTTGTTGTTGTTTTGGTTTTTCTAGACAGGATGTCTCTGTAACAGCCGAATCTATCCTGGAACTTGATTTGTAGACCAAGCTGACTTCAAACTCAAAGAGATCCACCTTTTTCTGCCTCTCGAGTGCTGGGATTAAAGGTGCACAGCACCACCATGCCTGGCCCTTCCGAGTATTCTTGAGTACCTGGATTCATCCACTAAAACAACAACAAAAATGGATACTAATGAACTTTGTTTTCAGGCATATAGGGAAATACAAACTCTATTAAAAGTCAATTGGATTTTTTTTTTAGTTCATTGCTTCTGAAGGGAACTAAATAGCACACCAGTTGCCTGAAGAAGTTATCCTTCTAAATGTATTTATTGAAGCATGCTATTATTAAAGTGTCTTTGACTCAGAGGACATGGAAATCCAAACTCCATTGCTGGGCTTAGGTTGTAGGTCAGTTACAGAACGAATGCCTAGTATGTATGAGGCCTGAGTTTCATATGAGGCAAAATAGAAATGCAAAATGATTTGTATTTCTGCATTCATGTATACTAGCTTCATTTTGAATTTATACTTTGCAAAGGATTTTCCTTTTGTTGCCCTCTCCACCCCCTTCATGAGTAATATGGTAATTTCTTACAGAGGCATTTTTCAGCTGTCCTTCAAAAAGAAGAAAAGGCCTATGGCAAAGAGGAAGCTATACAAATACCTATTATTAGTGCTTCAACTCAAATAATGCTTAAAGGACTCTTCATGGTGTTAGACTATCTCTTTAGAGAAAATAGCAGGTAAGTGAAGATACTTGTTTTGTTGGCTTTTTTGTTGTTTTGTTTTCATTTTAGCCTATGGGTCAGCAAGATGGCTCCACCAGTAAAGGTGCTTTTTGAACAAGCTTAGCAACCAGAATTCTATTCCCAAAGCCACATAAAGGTGAAAGGAGAGAACCAACTCTACAAGGCTGTCTTCTCACCTCCAAATGTGTGTTGTAGTATGCACACACACACACACACACACACACACAGAGTAATAAATGAAATTTTAAAAGATCAGCCTAATGAATGCTATTTTTACCTTAGTAAGAGAATCTTTTTTGGGGGGAGGAGGATTTGAGGCAGGGTTTCTCTGTGGCTTTGGAGGCTGTTCTGGAAGTAGCTCTTGTAGAACCAGGTGGTCTCAAACTCACAGAGATCCTCCTGCCTCTGCCTCCTGAGTACTGGGATTAAAGGCATGCACCACCACCGCCCGCTAGTAAGAGAATCTTAAATGTTACAGCTATATAGATGTATTGATTGTTCTTATTGACACAGACTCAAATCCATTAAAATGTCTTTTTCTCATTAATGAAAATAAATATTGAAATCAGTAAATAAGTGCACTTAATTAACTCTTTGACTTTTGGTACTCCAGTGCTAAGTTTAAAGATCTTCATTTTTTTCTAAGTATAATTTGGGTCTGTGTCTATCAGTACTTCAGAATCCCTATCTTTATATGCTTTGTTTTTCTTTGAGGCAGCATTCCGTGTGTCCCAGACTGGCCTCAAACTTAATACACAGAAGAGGATTGCCTTGAACTCCTTTGTTGTTTTGTTTTCAAGGCAGTGTTGCTGTGTAACAGCTCTAACTGTTCTGGAACATGTTTTATAGACCAGGATAGCCTTGAACTTTCACAGTGATCCTGCCTGCCTCTGCCTCCCAAGTGCTGGGCTTAAAGTGCACTACCACCATCTGGCTCAACCTTAAACTCTTAATCCTCCTGCCTGCAATGCTGGGATTACAGGACTGTACCTGTCTTATAGTTAAAGTTCTACTAGCTTCTGGGATTTTTGAGTGTCTTAAAATCATATTATCATGTCAAGTATACGCGAAACTACCATCTTGACCAGTGCCATACGCACTCCTGCAGGGTGCAGTCATCACCACCATTTATTTCCAGGAAGTTTTGTCTTTCCAGACAAGGATTTTACATATATAAAGCAGTTGCTCTACTTGTTACTATCCCTAGTAATTTCTCTTTCAGTTTGTTCTTTCTTGTTACTTCAGACACAAGGGGGCATACAATGTTTGCCTCCTTGGGTCTGACAATTCATTTAGTATCATTTTTTCAAAACTCATCTATGTAAAGCATACATCAAACTGTATTCCTTTTTATAGCTGAATAATACTCTGCACAAGTGTGCCACATATTTTAGTTAATATTTTTTATTGTTATGCGTTCTGTTGTTTCTGCCCCTTGCCTACTATTTATTATGCTGCTATGAATATTAGTGTACAGATAGCTGTTTGAGTCTGCTTTCCTTTCATTCCTCTGGATGAATGGATTTTACCTGGCAGTGGAACTGAAGCTCCTGTGACAGTCCTCTTGAACTCTGTGAGGAATGTCTTAGTGTTTTGCACAACAGCTGTACCACTGGGCCTGCTGTTTAGTGGGGTCTGCAGCTCTGACTTCACCATATCCTTGCTCATGCATTCTTTCTTCTCTGGACATTTTTTTTAATTAATAGTACCCCTAATGGGTATTAAATAATTCTTCCTTGTGGTTTTGATGTGTATTTTCAAATGATGACTAATGCTCCTATGACTCTGTGTACCTGTTGGCCAATTGTATGTCTTCTCTGTAGAAATAATCTACCTAAAGTCTACTGTCCATTTTTAGTTGACTTGTTTCTTTTATTTGTTGATTTGTAGTTATTGGTGCCATTGTGATATTAATCCTCTGTCAGATAGAAAAATGCTTTACAGATCATTTTTACTGTGTTGGGGGTTGTCTTTTCACATCTTGACTGTGTCATTTTTTAATTTAAGATAATTTTTATTTTGTTCTGGTTTGGTTTTGGAGTTTTTTTTTTTTTTTTGGTCTCACTGTGTAGCCAAGGCTTTCCTAATACATATGATTATCCTGCCTTACCCTCCTGAGCTCTGGGATTATATATGTGAACCACCCAGTTGAGTAGAATTTTTTTAGTTATGAAGTCTGGTTTACTTATCTCTTTTTAAATGTACCTTAGAGTTTTATAGTTTTGAGATTTCAGCATTTTTATAAAATTCACAATTACTGAGTCTTGACTTGAACTTAGAGACCTGATCTCTCCAAAGGTGAAATTAGGGGTGAAATGTCATGAGAGCAGAGTTGAGAATGCCATATTTTATCCTGAATAAGCCTAAGCATTTTATAGATTCTTAGTGATACAGATTGGAATGGGATCATGTGTACTCTGATTTAGTAACCTCATGAAAAGAAACTTAAGATGAAGACCCAGACTTTAACTTGAAAATTTTATAATTCAGATCAGTAAGATGGATTAGCAGGTAAACACCAACTTTGATCTCTGAACCCATTATAGAACTGACTGGCTCTTGCAAGGTGTCCTCTAACCTTTATATGAGTGTCCGGGCATGTTCCCACACATACACAAATCAAATGAAAAACTTTTTAAGTTTTATAGTTATACTTGCTAACACTTTTAAAATTATCCTTAAAATCACCTGTTTTCTCATACAGTATAAAAGCATAACTTGTCCTTGACTTTTTTAACCATAATTTAGGTTTTCTACTTAGTAACTGTAACAATTAAGTAGTACAAGGTTCAAAGACCTGGAGTTGGAAGTCAGAAGGCATGAAGTGAGTTGTTTCTGCCATGGTGTATGTCATGTTTAAAGTGAAATGTGAAAGTGGCTAATGAGGTTAGCCAGTTAGATAATTTTAATATTTCTTGTAAGAATTTATTGAATTCTGTGATTTCATAATTTATATCAGAATTACTGACGTTAGTAATGAGGACTGAATTTTCTTTATGTGGGAAAGCGTAGCAGGCTGTTGAGTTTTACAATTATCAGGTTTGATACTATGTAGCTTGATCATTGTTTTATAATGTTTTGTCATTCAATTAGCATTGTCTTTGCATTTAGATTTGCAGATGACTATAAAATTGCCATTCAACAAACTTACTCCTGGACAAATCAGATTGCTGTTTTTGATAAAAATGCGGTCTTGGCTCTACCAAAAAATAAGAAACATTCACGACAGAAAATTGGAGTTAATGTGCTAAACTTTTGGTGCTTAAATCCAGCTGTGGTAAGCTCGCTCTGTCCTAAGTGCAAACTTATCTTGACCAGAACCAACAATTTAGTGACTGTATTTGGCTTTTTAAAAAGATGATCTCGTTTGTTCCATGTTTCTGTGTAGGCCTTTTCAGATATTAATGACAAAGTACGAACTATTGTTCTAACATCGGGAACACTGTCACCTCTGAAATCCTTTTCATCTGAGCTTGGTGTTACATTTAACATCCAACTAGAGGCTAACCATGTCGTCAGTAACTCACAGGTGAGCTACTTTGCTTGATTTTGTTGATGCTCTCAGTTTTTCACCTGAGTGTAATTTGGTGGAAGGAAACCCTGATACTGCCCTGGCAGCTTTGCTGCTTTGGACTCAATGACTACTTGAGTAAGTTTTCATTTCTCTATAAAATCTAAAAACAAGAAAATATTCACTTTTCTACTGTAGCTCCTATTTGTAATTATTTCCTTTTTTCATTAGACTGTAGTATATTCTTATTTTATTTATTCATATTTAAAATTGGTGTTTGGTATACCTTCATGAGTTTATGTGTGCTGGGTTCATGCAGATGCCTGCATGGGCCAGAAGAGGCATCCCTAGAACTAGAGGTGCACGCATTTGTGAACCAGGTGAGGTGGGTTATGAGAACCAAGGTCTTCTGTAAGAACAGTACACGTTCTTAAACAATGAACCATCTCTCCATCACCTTTTTGTTTTGTTTAGACGGTGTCTTTTATGGTCCAGGTTAACATCAAGCTTGCTATATAGTCAAGGATGAGTTTGAACTTCCAGCCACCACTATTGTAATTTAAGAAGAGCAGCTCAAGAGAGAAAGGCACTATGTGATAGGGTTCAAGCAGAGGGGTTTTTTATTAGGGAAAGGGATCATAAAAAGTGGAAAGGGAAGCAGGGAAACTGGCCTCTGGAGATAGAAGCAGCAGGAGAGGGGGAAAGGGGGGAGAGAGGGGAACAGAGAGAGGGAGAGAAAGAGTGAGAGAGAAAAGGATGGGAGGTGGGCAGGGACCTTTTAAAAGGGAACATAGTGAATATGCACAGGTGGTGCTCTTAGTGACTGCAGCTGAGGGCGTGTCCTGTCAGAACCCCAAGGACAGGCCAGTACAGATGCTTGAATACTAACAACCACCTCTAAAATGCTGAACTTGTAGGTATGAACTAGCACTTGTGGCTCTGATTCTTTTTATGATGTAATTTAAAGTAGTCAGCTGCTTACTTAACATCACCTATGTACCTAACACCATTCTAGTTCTTTTTAAAACTGTATGTGCAGGTTTACTTGTGGGGACATTTTTAGTTGCCTAAAAACAACTACTGACATTTAGTGTTTGGGACCCATAATTCTATGTGTCTATGTAACTAAGAGTTTGCTTTCCAAAATGCCAGCATGTGCCTGTTGAGAAGAAGCATTGCTATCAGCAGTAGTGAAGTGAGAGTACAGATTCCACATTTCATGCTTCCCTGTTTATAAGCACAAGTGAATGCAGGCTAGCAAATTCAGTATAATTATTTTCACAAGATTGCTAGTCTGTACCCTAATCAACCATGTTTTTACCCTAATGTAAAAGTCCATTTAACTTGGACTATCACTGAATCATAATGATAATGCATATGGTATAGCTGAATAGTGTTTCAGTTTTGTCTGTCAACTTAAAAATTACTCTTAAACCTCAACTACGATTTAAAATATCCATGTAGAACCAGACACAGAGATCCACAACCAAGACCCAGGCCGAGCTCCGGGAATCCAGTCAAAGAGAGGGAGGAGGCAATGCATGAGCAAGGGAGGTCAAGATCATGAAGGAGAAATCTACAGAGACAGCTGAACCAAGCTCGTGGAAACTCATCAACTCTAGACCTACAACTGTGCAGACTCCAGGGGACTGAACTAGGCCCTCCATATGTGGGAGACAGTTGTGAAGCTTGCACTATCAGTGGGGCCCCTGGCAGTAGAGCCATGATGCAAACCTGATACATGAGCTAGCTTGTTGGAGCCCATGCCATGCTCAGTGTCAGTAGGACCATGATATAATCCTGGTACAAGAGCTAGCTTATTGGAGCCCATGGTGGAATGCCATGCTCATCCTTAATGCATGGTAGAGGGGTGTGACCCCAATGTATTGTTTCAGACTTTTTTCACTCATACTGCCAGCGGCCCCTCAGCTAGTCTGGGTTACCTCACTCAGAATGTTGTTTTTTTTTTCTGATACTGGTCTTTTTTATTTCATTTTATGTGCTTGAGTGTTTTGCCTGATGTGTAAATACCATGTGCCTGTAGAGGACAAAAGAGAGTATGGGATCCCCTGGAACTTGAGTTGCTGTGGTTAGATGTTTGCAGTTACTGTGAGGATTACAGTATTATCCAAGAGTTACAATAATTTGATTTGGGGTAGGTGCCAACCTAACCCTATTCACTTAATTAAAGGTATTGAAGATTTCCAGTTTCAAAACAAATTTCTGCTAAGTTTGTTTGGCTGTCTTTTTTCTGTAAATCTCTCCCAACTAAATACTAATTTTCCTGTTTTATTTAGGCATAACTCTAATACTAAGATATTAATTTCTAGGTTTGGGTTGGTACTGTTGGCTCAGGCCCTCAGGGACGGAATCTCTGTGCTACCTTCCAGCATACTGAAACATTTGAGTTCCAGGATGAAGTGGGAATGCTTTTGTTATCTGTGTGCCAGACTGTGAGCCAAGGAATTTTGTGCTTTTTGCCATCTTACAAGGTAAGGAGTTTTTTAACCTCTAAAAAAGATACAGGATTACCTTAATAAACTTCCTAGCGTGAGAAACAAGGTAATTCTTCCAGTATCATGTTATTTTATTTATAATGAAGGTTGCCTGATTATTTTACTACTGCTTCATTTAAAAGTCCTACATGGCTTTGGAAAGATAAGACCCATTTTGTTTTGCTATAAAAATGTTATTTCTATAAGAGGACTGTTTATCTGTGATTTTTATTCTTACAGGCAACTTGCTATTTCCATAGTGAAGGGGACGGGTCTTCTTTTTTACTTTATTAAAATGAATCTAATCATCCTTTGCTGCCCATTGCTTTGCTTCCTGCATCTGGTACTAACTAGTGTTTTCTCCTCCCTCTCCTACTTCTTCATTACACTGGGGGTCAGTCCCAGAACTTTGTGATGTTAGGGGTGTATCCTTGCATTGAGCTGCATCCCAAGGCTTTCAGTCTCTATGTCTTTTGTTCTAATGTGGCTCTTTCGTCATCACCATATGCTTGGACCATGTGGTTTAAACCAGTTCTGTCAATGTATTTTGATTGAAAAGTTTACTATGTTTATACATAAAGCATTAAGCAACAGTAATTAAGAAAAGAGGCCTGCCCTTTTTTTTTTTTTCTTTTGGAGAAAGGGTTTCACTGTGTAGCCTTGGCTACCCAGAACTGTGTAGACCAGGCTGGCCTCATACTCCCAGAGTTCGGTCTCCCTCTGCCTGTCTAGGCTGGGAATAAAGGTGTGTGCCACCATTCCCAATTACTTCAGCCATTTTCCTGTTTTCTTGTTTCTGTCTTTCCCCTTACTATTTGCTACATCATTGGTGGTTCTTTCTTTAATTTTTTTTTTGTAGTGACATGCAGTGATTTCCCTCTTGTTTTGTCTTATGTATATTTTAGTAACATTTTTAGATTTATTTTATGTCTGTGAATGCTTTGTCTACATGTGTATCTGTGTATCATGTGTGTCCCTGGTGCCCAAGGAGGCCAGAAGAAGGCACCGGTTTTTAGCCTTCTCCTCTATAGTTGGTATCATGGATGTTGTAAATGGAGTTCTTAATTGGTCTAAGTAATAAAAACCCAGAGTCAGATATAGAGGAAAATGTGAGAGATCAGAGAGAAGGAGCAAGCCACAGCCACGCCTTATCTCCTAATAGTTTCAGCAGACAAGAGAGGTTCCTGTTTCTGCCCACTTATATCCTCTCTCTGCACAGCCATCTCCTTCCTGTCTGTCTGTACAGACCTCCAGGCCTCTATGGAGCTAGTGGCTCCATTCTCTGACCTTTAGACAGGCTTTCTTTGTACAAGCAAACTATCACCCCAGATGTAACCTGTAATTTTCTACTAGGGAACTGACTACACAGAGTAACATACTCTTCTCCATCTTTAGTACAGCAAGGTACCACAGGTGGGATTGATTCAGACAGAAGAGATTCATTTTCTTTCCACTTGGGAGGCTTGAAACCCAAAATCAGATATTGGGCATTATACTTTCTTCAGAAATGTCTGTCCTAGTCTTGCAGTGACCACCTTTTTGCTGAGTTCTTAACACAGAACTTATTTGTGCTTTAGTGTCCTTGGTATTTCTAAATGTTCAAATTTCCTTTTTTATGAGACTATTAGTGAAACTGAGTAGGAACCTCCCTGTAGAACTCGTAAGTTAGTGTCTAAAGACACAATCACGTTCTGAGGTCGTGGGAATTCAGGCTTCGCTGTAGAAAATTACGGAAATAGTATAGTCCAGAGCTGGGGAAAACAACTGGGGTTGAGGGTTCTAAATGTTATGTTATACTTTTTTTTTAAAGATTTATTATTTATAATATAGTATTCTGCCTGCATGTATGTTTGCAGGCCCGAAGAGGGCACCAGGTCTCATTATAGATGGTTGTGAGCCACCATGTGGTTGCTGGGAATTGAACTCAGGACCTTTGGAAGAGCAGTCAGTGCTCTTAACCTCTGAGCCATCTCTCCAGCCCCTGTTATGTTATACTTATGGTGGGAATTTCTTAAGTGCATTTTGTCAAAACTCATTAAGCTTAACAGGTATGTATTTTCTAGTATGTAAATTATATCTTAAGAAAGTTTTTTTTCAAATAGCAAATGCAGGCCAAATATGACAAAAATTTGTATTGTAAACTTCATTACAGTGTGTTTACCTGGAAGGGATTTAAGATCTTCTTACCTAGGAACATGCTGTATCATTTTATTACATGGCACCTCCATATACCTTACTAAAATTAAATAGTTAAGCAACAATATAGCAATACCTTTATTACTTTTTTGTTACAAAAGTACTGAACTAAAGAGTCAGTGGAGAGTTTAAGAGCATGTACTGCTTTGCAGAAGATAGGAGTTTGGTTCCTAGCCTCATATCTGGCAGTTTACAGCCACCTATAATTCCAGCTCTAGAGGATCCAACATCCTTTTCTGACCACAGGCACCTGCACTCGTGCACATATCTACACAGAAACATAATCAGAAATAAGATAAATCTTAAATTTCTTTTTTAAATGTGTGCAAACTAATACATCCTATTCATTAAAATGGATAGTGTTTCAATTTTAATCTAGCAAAAAATAACTTTTTGATATTATAATCTGTACTGAATACTGACACTTGTAACTATTAGAGTTTTCCAGAGACGTAGAACAGGGAGAGGAGGGGCAGACAGGGAATGATGGCCCTGTGCTGTAGTTAAAAGCTGTGCTTTCTACTTTTTAGGAAGGCCTACTGCATTACCAAGGCTAACAATTTATTATGCTAGTTTCTGGGATACTGCATCTCAGAAGCATGCAGAGATGCCTGGGCTTCCTGTGGCAAGCTGACGTTGCATCACAAATACATTTCCCAAATAAATCAAAATAAAAGCTAAGCTTATAAATATTGATTAAAATTCCACTGCACTTGTAAATTTTACTTTTAAATATTTTTCATGTAATATAGTAGGTCTAAAAAAGCTCTCAGTATGTGTTTTTTTTTTCTTTCCTTGTAGGAGAGACTAAATGTCATGCTAAAGATTAACTCATCCATGAGCATATAAAACGAAAATTCAAGAAGCTTTGAGATTATGGTGTCATATTCATAGCAGTTACTTGAGTTTTTTGGGTTTTTTTTTTTTTTTGGTTTTTCGAGACAGGGTTTCTCTGTGGCTTTGGAGGCTGTCCTGGAACTCGCTCTGTAGACCAGGCTGGCCTCGAACTCACAGAGATCCGCCTGCCTCTGCCTCCCGAGTGCTGGGATTAAAGGCGTGCACCACCAACGCCCGGCGAGCAGTCACTTGAGTTTTAAGCAGAGGTATTCCTTCTGAGGAATCTGTATTTTGTCAGGAGAAAATAATATGCTTCATTAATTCATAAGCCTAAGAAAGATGGTCACTCGGGCTTATCATTGGGAACTGTCTTGCCTTGGGTTTCTTTTTCTTTGCTTTTCTCATTCTGCCTTGAAAGGCCCACCTTCTGCTGCCTGGAGGCTCTGCCCAATCACATAAAGGCAGGCAGCCTGCGAAACCAGGAGTGAAAAGAGATCTTCCTCATTTTAATTCTCTCGGGTGTTTTAGTCATAGCTTCATAAACAATAGCCAACATAGAAAAGTGGTATCAGAGAACTCCGATCACGTGGGTCTGCATCCTCTGAAGTTGTTTTGTAGGAGACGTTGGAAGCAGCTCAATGAACAGTTGGAAGCAGGGCTCAGAAGATCAGAATGCCTACTAGAAATAGAGGCAGGAAGAGCTGTGGTGGGAATTGGACTAGAGCAGAGACTTTTGTCTGACTGTGACAGTAATGGAGAAATTAATTTGGTAGAAGAAATTTCAAGACAGAGTTGCTTTCAGGCTCTGGCATGTTTATTCTTGGAAGCTTTACAATGAGAGGTATACAGTGAGAATTGGGAGCAGAAAGTATAGTAGAAAGTTGAAAAATGCTCATTTAAATTCATGGAAAGAAGGATTCTGGATTCCCACGTAAGCCAGGCTAAAATAAGCTAGGTTCCAGGAAGTAGAAATTTCAACTCATCTGAAAACCTCTGTCTTGAGAAGACTACTCAAGAAAGGGCTGCCTGAGAAAGTATCTTCTCTGCCCAACCACACAGCCTCTCAGAGGCCCCTGCTCTCACGGTCCAAGGGAGCGCTACTGCTGTAGCTGGCAGCAGACCACGGCTTCATTTGCTGATCTGATACTCATTTGTAGACATACAGAATGCAAGAGTGCAGTGTCATGAATGCTTCCATGCTTGGTTTTTTTTGTTTGTTTGTTTGTTTGTTTTTGTTGGTGGTGGTGGTAGTGGTGTTATTTGTTTGTTTTTTGTTTTCTTGTGGTGCTGGTAATTGAATCCACAGACTTTGTCTATGCTAAGCAAGTAGTTGTCCACTGAAGCCCCACTACATCCTTTGAGTCAGGTTCTTGACCTAGTTGGCCTTGAACTTGTGATCCTCTTGCCTTTGCCTTCTAGATACTAGGATTACAGGCATGAACCGCCACATCTGGCCTCTTCCACCTAGATGTGAATAGCGTTGCATCCCTTAGGCAGTCTCTGAGGAGGAGATGTGTGCAGGTAAGAATGTGACATCTAAACTGCAGTGGAATCCTCAAGATGTTAGAAGACTCAGAGAACAAAAACACCTGTCAAAGATAGCCAGCCACAGGGGTGTAACCAGCCAAGAGAGAGGCAATGTGGGCAGCAGACAGCTAGGCCATCAGGTTGGAGTTGCCTAAAGCCTTTGGAGCTGACATCATGACACTTTGTGCCCCAGGTATAGGACGTGGAACTACTGAATTTAACATTTCTGTCCTGTATGAGTCACATCCTTCCTCTCTAGGCCCACATTCCTTCCATTTATAGTATGAATTTTAACTCAGTGTTGTGTATGTTGATAGTATGTAATTGGTTTTTATGATTTGTATAGGTGCTTATAGCTAAGATTGCCTGACTTTCAGGGTAAACTTTGAATTTGAATTTTTGAACAGTGTTGAAACTGTTACAACTGCAGTGCCTTA